GTAAATGACTTGGGAATTCTTAAATCTCACTGTGCTTTCCAAATCCTTCTCTTTAAATCTCTCTGATACATGTAGAAGCAATGGGAAAAAGTTGAAAATCACTTGACATTGACTTATTCCCACTCAGATCTTTCTTTATAAAGTCTTTATTATATTAATGTAGACATTACTACAGTTGTTCAGACATAAACCTTACATATGGCATACATAAATTGCCTATATGAAGGAAGAGAAAATGCGTGTGGGATGTACACAACACAAGTCAAAATTAATCCAGTAATTTTTCAAAGCTAAACATTAGAGAAAAAAACTCAGATAAAATAAGAAAGGTGCCTAAAGTTACAATCTTAAATTCATTTTAGATATCCCTTCCAAGTTTCAAAAATGCTTAGCACTCCAGCAGCTCTGTATACCCCAAGAGCATGAAAAAAATACATAATATAACAATATGAGGGGAAAGACTGAGATAACCTTCTCTAAATGACAAAGCTATTTGCATTGAAGTGTCATGCAAATAGTAATTACATTTTGTATTTGCATAATAATTAAACAATCCTTTTAAGACAAGGTGTGTCTTATAGAAGCTTCACAATTATTAACTTCTTATCTTAAACTAACCCGTGGTTTATCTACAGAAGCTTTGTTAGTGCCACTGTAACTTCCTGCAGCAAAACTCTAACTCATTCCTGTAACTTATGCCTTGTAACTGATCACTGAACTGAATGCCTACGTACACACACGTAACCTGTTAGCTGATACCTTACATGTATGTTAGACAGTGCTGTGAGTCAATGCAGACTATATTTTTATATATTATATGAAAACAAATGGAATTCCCATCTTAGATGGATAAAACTAAAATTTGATATGAACATTCTAAACCATGTCCCCCACACCAACTTTTTTTTTAATATATAAAAAACCCTCAGTATTTTGACCCGTATTTTTCATGCACCAGTTAACTAGAAAATTACAGAACCTGAAGAGCTCAGATAAAATTAATCAAGGGGATTAAAACAACGCATGCCTCCTCTCTCCAGTAGAGTGGGATGCTACTGGAATGTGAATTAAAGACTCTCAAGCCTTTGAAAAATGAGGACCCCTGAATTTTTTATTTTGTTAACTAATCATTAGAGAACTGGAAATTGCTGTGTTTCTGACTGTTTGATAGGTATCTGCTTCCATAAAGTACATTTTTAATTTTGTAAGAGCTGGCCTGCTTCCCAGTAGCACACTGATTTGTGGGGCCACTACTTACAGCACCTAGAGAATAATTAAATATTAAGTCCCTCCTTGATGTATGCAAAGTCTGACTAAGAGGATTAGTAGACACACTGAGGGTGGCTTTCACATATTTTCTGGTAATTGAACACTGCAATATCATTAAACTTATCTTTACTCAATAGAAATCCACATTGATCCTATTACAATATCTGTTGTCCCTTTTTGTATCAAGGAATGGTAAAGGAAAAGAGGGATCCCCTAAAAGCATGTAAGAAATGTCAAGCAAGAAAGGATAAAGCAGTCTAGAAGTAAGATAACAAGTTTTTGAAATATTTACAATTTAAAGTTCATTTAAAAAAGAAAAAATCACAAACCCAAAACAAACCTTTAAATACATTCCTCTATAAGGTAAAAATAGCATTTGATCCACCCACACCCCTCTTTTTTAACATGATCAAGGGTTTTGCTACTTCACCAGATGAGAAAGGATGACCAAATTAATAAAGGAGTAGTGATATAGAGAAACTGATACCTACAGACAAGGCAGACAGACCGACACAGCAGTCTGAGCACACATTTGAAAGATGTAATTCCTCACGTCTACATTTTGACCCCGCTTCAGTCAGGATTACCCAGCAACTTGGTAAAACTTAAATTGTGCTTCAACATCCCTTTCAGTAGAACGGGGTTGCTTTTGAAGGTCATTGCACCTGAAGCAATAACTTGCATGAGAAACTTAATTAATGCTTTTCCAAAAGCTCATACAAAAATCTCTCTTCGCTTTTCAGCAGTTGTGTAACTAGTAATTTCTGCAGTGTTTTTGTTTCACTAACATACCATGAAGGATTGTGAAATGTAAGCAGTTTTCAATATGCTATTTTCCCTGTTTGTTAATACACAAAATAAGAAAACATAATCATCAAATAAGGTCATCACTTGCTTTTTTTAATATCAACTTGTAGACTAGCATTTGACATCAGCTGACTAGCAGAGAAAAAAAATAGTCTAAGTAGTGGATCACTCATTTGTTTTCTTGGACATTTGTGAACAACTCTGAAATTTCAATGACTGGTGCGTAACAGACAAACCAACATGACTTCTGTCTAAAGCACACCTTAGTTACCTACCACAAAATATGAAAAAAAACCCCAAACAAAACTGAAAACAAAGGGTTCTCATCTATCACATTTAGCTTGAACTGACATGAAAATTATAATAATTTTAAAATACGTTCCAACAGGACTGTTATAATTGTTATATTTTCCTGCTCAAAACTAGGAGTATTCTAAAAATCCACCACTTCAGGAAACAGAAATCATTAACAGATTGTATGGAATGACCTAAACAGGCTGGAAGATTTGGACCAACAAGAGCTGCACGAGGTTTAACAGCCATGCTGCACTCAGGAAGCAAAGGTGGGGACAGCAAAACTGGGGAGCAGATCTCCTGAGAGGGCCTTAGTGGTCCCTGGTGGGCAGCGAGCTACATGTGAGCCAGCAGCACAAGCAATGTATGCAATTAATTGCTAAAACATCACAAGACAAAACTAAATGGATGCGAGTCTCATGCTGTGAAGCTATATATATTTTGATTTACCAGATTATGGGAGAAAATAAAAGTTATCTTATCTTATATATTTCTCAAACAAGTGTAATGAGTCTCACAAGGTTTCTGTCAAATACAGGTTCTTTTTCTGTCTTCAACAGACACAGCTGAAGGCTATTATCTACCTGTAGCTTTTCTCTTAAAATATATTCCAGTTGAATCTTTGAGACTTGAAATGCTTTTGAGTTGGAAAGCAAGTCACAGACAATACACATATTGACAAAGGACTGAACTGTAGATGAAGAATCCAATCATAGACAGACGAGTGAAGAGCAGCTGAGGAGTTAAGTACTGGTATTATTGTGAATGCACGACAAAAAGTAATTTCTAAAGAAAGCAAGAGATAAGCATTTTATTTTTCTTTTATGATTTTTATTATGATTATTCCCTTGAATAATCTTAGCACAGTGAGTCCCAACTGAGATATTTGTTTTCTTTTATATGAATATAAAATGTTTTTGTGCATAGATTTTTTGAGGAATATATATTAGAAATACACTATTTTAGGTCCATAAGGCCTTGTCAAGGAGGGGGAGGCATTTAGAAAATGGATGGAAAGTATCTCTGCTTCTGAGCAATTCTACGTGCAGCAAGTGACACTCATCTGATTTCAAAATGGCACAAGCTTGAAAGACAAGACTACTTCTTCTTGTTACTCCTTTAGTATATTTTCATTGTACTTAGAAATGCAGAACCTCTAAAAATATATACATTGATATCAAGCACTTCACCGAAAAGAGTAACAAAATAAAGTAGTTAAAATATTAATAAATAACTAACAAAAGCCTTTTTGTATATATGGAATTTTTCATATTCTGTTTTACAAACTCCAGTGTTTTCACTGTTGAGAACATTTACTAGATGACTGTTATTAGTCTTAGATCAACTTTTACATACACCTAAAAAATGAAAGTTAGATATTTTGTTATCCTTTAATTCAGAAGGAAACTTAATGGTTTAGACTTGAAAACTTGAACTAAAAGTACTCTGGCCCTGTTAGCTGGAAACAAATAATATAGCTAAAAGTAACTTCTTTCAGCAATGATTTTACCAGTTTTTTTTTTCTTGACTTTATACTGAAAAAGACTTAAAATTATCACTTGGCCAGTTAAAGTTATTAACCTATTTTAAGCACTTACTGTCTTCAAGTTGTTAGGTGCTGTCTCTTAAGAGTCAATAGCACACTAACTATCACAGAATCACAGAATGAGCAGGGTTGGAAGTGACCTCTGGAGATCATCTAGTCCAACCCCCCTGTCAAAGCAGGTTCACCCAGAGCAAGTTGCACAGGGCAGCATTCAGGCAGGTTTTGAACATCCCCAGAGATGTTCACAGAGGATGCTCCACAACCTCTCTGGGCAGCCTGTTCCAGTGCTCTGGCACCCTCAGAGTAAAGAATTTTTTCCTCATGTTTAAGCGGGACCTCCTGTGTTCCAGCTTGTGCCCATTGCCTTGTGTTCTATTACTGGCCACCACTGAAAAGAGTCTGGCCCCATCCTCTTGACACCCACCTTTTAGATATTTTTAAACATTGGTAAGGTCCCATATCTCAGTCTTCTCCAGGCTAAACAGACCCAGGTCTCTCAGTCTTTCCTCAGAAGAAAGATGCTCTAGCCCCTTAATCATCTTTGTGCCCCTCCACTGGACCCTCTCCAGAAGTTCCCTATTTCTCTTGAACTGGGGGGCTCAGAACTGGACACAGTACTCCAGATGAGGTCTCACCAGGGCAGAGTAGACGGGGAAGATCACCTCCCTCGACCTGCTGGCCACTCTTCTTAATGCACCCCAGGAGACCATTGGTCTTCTTGGCCACAAGGACACTATGACCAAATGCATTCCCTATCAATTAAATCTTTCCATGTGAAAAGAAAGAACACACAAAAACTTCAAAGTCAGTGCCTGACACGGAGGAAAATCATTAGTGTTTAATCAAGTTCAGTATTATGTACTCCTGGTCACAAACAAAAGCTGAGAAGTCTATTAACTTTGCATAACTTTTTTTTTTTTCAGAGAATCATAAGGTATCAGAAATCTGATTCAAAAGGAAAGTAGGATTAGTTCCCGTATCAACAAGATGCATTTCAAACATATACTGCAAAACAGCATTTCATCATATAATCCCTGTATAAAACCAGTCTTATGCTATCATTTATAGCAATCAAAATTAATACCTTTGTTTCAGGCCAGCAAGCTCTGAGAACAGCTTGTGTTCTGAAGCACACAAGTAGCTTAACATCCTCGTCACTGAGATGGAAAGCTTGCTCCAGAATTTGCAATACTCTGATGCGAGGCTTCACTGCTAAAGTGTCATCACCGCAGAAAGGTCTCAACCAGTCCAGAAGGTCATCTGAAGAAACTACTTTGTCCCTGTAATTAAACAATACTGTATTTGGTCTTTGGTAATCCACTGAAAGTACTACATCTCTTTTCAAAGCTGTTAACAAGTACGTTCAATGCATGACAAATACCTAACGTTGGAAATGGAAGAGCTCACCTCTGTGAGGCTGCAGAGAAACTAGCCCTTGTAAATTAGGTGCCTAAAGCTAAGTGGTATAAGAAATTTTTCTGAACTTCAAATAACCATGTAACACCATAGAAATCCATCTATTACAGTTACGTATTCTCCCACATGCTACCTTGACTGCCAATTGTATCATGGTGCTAGATTTCAGCACCTGAAAATCCAAGCCTTTTTAAGGTGTCTGCTCCTGACTGATGCCTGCACTTCCACCCCACCTGACTTCATGGAAAACCAGCTTGACCGCTTGCATTTTAAGAATTACATTTTTATATTTGAAGTTTATTCATATTGTCCTATATGCTCTTTCTTTCCTTACAAATCCCTTCCTTATGTTTCACATACACAAATTAGTTTCTCCTTATTTTAGCTCTAACCAGTTCTTGTTTTCTTCTGTTCCATCTCTAGCAAGGTTGATTATTGTATGTTCTAGTATGAAAATGATTACAGAATGCCCATAATAGCTAGAATGGGGGGGGAAAAAAAAAAAGTTAAAAAACCTAAGTTTTTTGGGTTTTCCTGACTTGGGTAATTATAAAAACTCTTAATTAAATAATTTGATTCAAAAAGTGTATTATATCGAATACATTCTAACTGTGTGAAAGTATTTAAAGTACAAGATTACCATTAAGTCAACTGTCCAGCTAGCAGTTGCAGACAGAATAATCTTATGTCTCTTAGAGGCTACAAACTAGCATGTAACAAATCACTAAATGCTGTCCTGCCTTCAGTAGTATTTTAAACAAAAGCTTTTTTTTTCCCTTAAAAAAAACCAAAAAACAAAAAACAAAAAACAAAACAAAACAAAACAAAACAAAACAAAATCCATGAAGAAATAAACCCCACAAGAAAGTGGTTCCAGGTGGAGTGTGATTTATAACTAATGTTCCCTTATTTGTCTTAATGAGACAGACAGGAAAGTAGTATCAGACAGAAAGCACTAATTTAACCTGTCTCACAGTGCTGAAATAATCAACACTGACAGCTTACACTTTCATATTACAAGGATTTCAATTTTGCTTAGGCTTTATATGGTCTGAATGATGCTGTTAGCTCAGAACTTCAGCTAAATTAGACATGCCTCTGTTGAACAGGTGGCATTCAAACTGTAAATTAAAAGTTTGGGAATTTAAGAGGACCTGCTGGAATATTTCAAGAGTTCTGCAGAACTCACACCTAATGTTTATATGCGTTTCACTTAGGGAAAAAATTGTATTTTAAAATTGAATAGCTGAGGTCAGAATATAATAGTACTGACTCCCCGATTCTACCTTGCAATATTGCAAATGAGATTTAACATAGATTTTGACATTAATTCAGTCTACTTCAGTATCCAGTATTTAACTAATCTAATGTCAGTGGCAAAGCCTCCACACAGTAGTGTAACTGGTTTTGCTGGCTAGCAGAGAGTGTGGGGTTTTATTACTATTATCATACAGGAATTCTTAACTTTGTATATCTGGAAAAGAAAACAAAACAAAACAACTGGTTTTTTTTTCCTTGTCTTTACTAGAAATCCAATGGAAAACATCAGTGAGATATACAGACCATTATGTGATTTGAAATAAGGAGATGCCCAAAAGAGGAGGAGAAAAAAAAAAAAAATGTAGTGAAACTTTATACAGCACTTGTGAAATTGTTTCTACACCATATTCTACAAATATTGACAAATTTAGTGAATAAATATTATTTTTAATTCATCTATTAAACTGAAACAAAAGCAGTGAAGTTCTAGAAGATACACAATCTGCAGTAGTTACAGCAGAAAAACCATTTGCTCAAAGCATCATAATACATAGTTATCTAAATTTTCAGTTCAGTGACTTGCCTTCTTCCAAATGATCAAATAAAGTAAAGGCTTCTGTCACAACTAAGATTTTGAATCTGATAAATGACAGCCTGTTCCAGAATAAAGTCTTGGAAAATTGAGTGCAAACCCATTAGATATATATATATATATCCATGAAGAAAAATCATCCATATTCAGTATCATACCTTTAATATTTTCATGAGAAGTATCTTTCAAAGTCTTAACCAAAGAATCCATACAGTAACTTCTTACCCTTTCTCAACACTTGCATGCACTGCAGAAACAATGCCTTCTAGGACTCCAAGTGGATCTTTCACTGATGTAGATGAGTCATCATTTCCACTGTTAAGGGAAGACATAAAATTACCATTAAAATGGTCCTTAATATTGTATCTAACTCTATCCACCTGTAGGATTTACATGAATTGTTCCATAATATAGTAATTTTCCACTTTCCCTGCTTAACTAGTACCTTTATTTTTATCACAGAATCACAGAATGTCAGGGATTGGAAGGGACCTCGAAAGATCATCTAGTCCAATCCCCCTGCTGGAGCAGGAGCCTAAATGAGACCACACAGGAAGGTGTCCAGGCGGGTTTTGAATGTCTCCAGAAAAGGAGACTCCACAACATCCCTGGGCAGCCTGTTCCAGTGCTCTGTCACTCTTACTATAAAGAAGTTTTATGTCAAAGTAATGCAAGGAACAACAGGAAGAGTGGGAAAGAAATACTAAAATACTTCAGTGAAACTTAAAACTTAAAAGAAAAAGAATAGTTAAAATATAGCACTTCTAACACAGATTAGGTCAGCAAAATATCCACATGTAAGTAACCTCATTACCTTAAAGATCTCATCAATATCAGCTAAACAGATTAGAAGTTGCACATAAATGTCATATTTTCTTTTCAAATATTATCTTGCAGTATCTCTGTTGGTTTAAACAAACTTGACTGTAACCTGAGTCAAAAGAATCCTATCTGCTGATTCAGTAGATTTCTTTTCCCACCCCTCTGAGATTCATTTTCAATTGTATCAACCAGGATGATGCTTACTAGAAACAACAAAATCCGAAAGGAGGGAACACATGGTCAAGAACTACATGTGGGGAAGGGGAGGATTAAGCACCCACTATACATGTGTAGGAATAGAAAAATGTGAATAACACTGCCCATCATACGTTCCAGTTACACAATGATGTTCTTCTGCAGGTCAAAAGGTAGCAAATATTGTAGGACTAAATAGATAAATAAAATCACTCTGTAGG